AATAACCACTCCAGAAAGCTGCAAGTCCGAGAAATCCAATTTAAAGCACTATTAGAGAATTTATAAATTTGATGATCGCCTATTGTCTTTTTTCTAGGCGATGCAAAAAAGCGAAAAACTGGAAAAACTCCTGAAGCTAAGAAATTACAACTAGAAGCTCCCAGAGCTGATGCTATACGGTTTTTAGTTTTCTCTCCTCTACATAAAGTTGGAATTTTTCAGCGCTGATCAGCATAATGTGTTTCCTGTTGGGTACAGTTACTGATTCAACCCATTCTGTGAAAAACACGATTTTTTCAATGTAGGTTCATTATAATCCGCCAATAAGCAGATAATCTTTATTTTGAAGATGTATGGGGCAGCCTTATTAAGTATCCATCAGGCTTGTTGAAAAGCGATTTGCACTGCATCCCTGCTGTGGCAAACAATTTGACATATAAAAAGATTAAAAGAAAAAGTAAAGGGACTAGAAAGGATCGCTTCTTGTAGCAAAAGAAGGAAAACTAGTTTTACTGCCAGGACCAAAAAGCTTCTAATTTGACCGAACTTCTCAGCTAACAGTTCGTGTCTTCTGCAGCATTCCACAGATTTAATACATACCTGTGCCACGCGATGTGACTTTCTTGTTGACGTCAGTAGTCTTTTGAGGAAAATGAGTATCGAAGACTGGTTCCTCAACATCCCATGTATACTTTGTGCGAGCAGCTTAAATTAGAAATTTTTATTTTCGGCCTTCTTGCTAATTCCGAAATAGAGCTTGGTATTTAAACTGCGTTACCTGTAATTGCTTTTGATGTTATTGCTATAGCGTCTGATTCGGAACACAGCACGACGAAATTTTTCAGGAATAGTCCGAGCTGACCAACGGTGATGTGAATTGGCCAAAATTCCACTGCTTTTCGCGAATTAAATGATGCATCTGATATGTAGCCTCTAAACTTTGACATTTCTGCACTGGCTTTTCATAGATTCTCAAACACTACAAAAGCACTCCGTTTCTTTCAAGGCACCCAAGCGGGCTTTAAACATAGACTGCAATGCACCGGGATTGCTGGTGCGATTGCGTGTTTTTGTGCTAGGCTTGCAGATCGTTAAAAGCACCATGGTCCTGCGCTGCACTTTAACACTTACACTCATACTGACTGCGTTTTGGCCTCTTCCCGCATGCTTAAGGAAATGGCGTCGGCTGGGCTGATGTTGCACTACAGGGCCGTATGGACCACTAGCGTGCATAATTATCATTTTTTTTCATGAAGCCTGGCATTTTTCTGGTGAATTGTCGTTCACTGAATCCAGGCTGGAACGCACCAGGCGAGCCGGCGCGATCATGCGTTTTTGTATCAAGCTTTGAGGCACTCCATCATATTTCCCTGCCCTTGCCACACCCCCTCCACTCGCTGTTTCCGCCCCTCACCCTTTCCCCCACCCCCTCCCTCTCCTCCCAGGCGTCCATCTTCTCGAAGCGCTGATATTGTGCTGCATTATACAGCACGATTACAAAGCGGTATTCTGCGGTCTATCGCTGCTCACTGTGGGATGGTTTGTGGTTGGGTGGTCGTCCGTGGTGATGGGGTGTGGGTCGACGTTAGGTGGGGAGGAGTGTTGGGAAGGTGGTCGGTGTTGGGT